ACTGGAAGAAGCTTGATCCTCGCGACTTCCCGGTTGCAGTGGGTTTGGAGTATCCTGACACTGGTGTATCGTCGCGTCTTCCCAGTATATGGCATCGAGTCTCTGCCCTTTGCTAGTTGGGAATTGCGTCTCCTTCGAGACTTGGCGCCCCGAGACATAGAACCGGTATTGCGTTGTCGGCCCTCTATCAGCTGGTTCCCGAGCGACGCGAAGTACCTGTTCAAAGGCCATAGGGTTAGAACCCCGGAAGGCATTCAGTGTCCATTGCCGCCTGGCCGGTGTGCTCCACTTGATCAGGACCGGTACACCGCCCAAGGCTGGCCAAAGATCAATAATAACATGGATTTCACCCCGCAAGATCGATTCTTCTACTTCCGGCCACACAAGCAGGACTTCGAAATTGTCTCGCAGGGTGAGTTTCTCGCCATAGCCGTTGCACTTGCTGAAGAACATATTCATTACTTCTTCTCTCTGTCTCTCCAAGATCGAGCCTCCGTTGGCCTTCAGAAGCCGCTCGCAATCCATGCATGATCACTGAGACATAGTGGCCAGGATTTTCTTGCCTAAAAAGGTCATACCGCCGCCAGAACGCAGTATCTAGCTGCCCGGGCACATTGTAGCCTGAGCTACCAGTAGTATGATATTCATTGCGATGTCTCGCATCCCTCGGGGCTCTCCATCTAGTTGTTTGCATGAGGCTGGTGCCATCCATCTGTACAACCGGATCCTCAGGATGTGTACATTGTTCTCGTTCTCTCGCGGCATAGATGATAAGGTAGTCACCATCAACGGCCTCGACTCTTTGGGGATCAACATAGGCCTTGCTCGGTCTGTCCATTGCTCTTGCAGCATACCTTGCTGTGCAGTCAATACTGCGGTCAAACCTGCAGGCAATCGACCCTGGAGTGTCGTGTCGGTATAGCTGAATACTGCCCCGGGCAAACGGCACAAAGTGGAGCTCAACATAAACAACCGGCATTCCAGTCCTGTATTCGTCTTGTCTGCAGAACAGTATAATGGGCTGAAAGATCCCTTGGATTCCATTGGCCGGAGTTGGATAAACAAAAATTGTCTTCCAATCAATCCCTGGATCACCTCTCCAGAGGTGTAGTACTTGCTCCAGAGCGTTGCCTGGCCCCGCTAATCTAACCATAAGTGCATTCCTCACCGGCGTCCCAATCCAATGATGCAAGTACGTGCGAACCTTGGTTCTCTCAATTGGTTGTCTGTAGAACCGTTGGTAAGCAGCTGATAGGCCATCTCCGGATTGGAGGTTAACAACTGCAAGATTCACGGTATTGTCATGATAGTAGGTTGGCGGAAGCTGCATTAAGCTTGATCTATCATCTTGGACCATTGGAGTTGCAGTGTTATCTCCGGGCGTGGCATTGTATATGGGAGGCCGCCCATACTCCTCATCGGTCTCTTCATCGCTCTCAGTATTGGTCGTATCACCGGAGCATGTCGAAGAGGAGGACTCCCCTTCGTCCTCCAGCCAAGTCTCTCGGAAGACAACAAAAGCTCCTTCGTACAGCGGAATCCTTTCATACCATGTATATTCAACTGGCCCTATCTGGATAGTGCACCTGCTTGCCCAAATGCATTGGTTGTCTGGAATGGCTTTCTGAAACAACACTGACATAGCATCAAAAGGCCTACTTTGGAACAAATATGTTCCGGTCCATTGCCGAGTCGGAAGGTGTACTTGTCCTAACACAACCAACCATGTTTCCGGGATCACAGGAACTATCAAAAAGGTCGGCAGTGGGTGGATTCCCTGCACTGGGACAGGTAATACCGCTATAATCTTAGCAGTAGGTCGAACTTGAAAGTCCTTCCATTTACTCAAAATCTGTCCCCTGAACGGCTCTTCTGTAGAGAAATCGTTTATTCGACTACTGAAAGCCCATTCTTCTCTTCTATCCCAAGTGTGCACCCAAGTCATGACTCTCACAGTTTGGATCCCAGTGGCACGAAGCACATATTGCAGGAGCGGATCTTGCCTTGGCGTCAAGGCATAGTGCCTCATCATGAGATCAGTATGCTCAGAGTCTTCCTCAGGTGCGATGTCACCACTATCCTGGCCTACCAGATTTGTACCGCCAGACCAAGCAAAATGTGGATCATTGCATAGTCCTAGGGACCAATTAGCTCGACAGGAAGTGAATCCCGGAGCATCGACACATGCTTCTGAATCCGTCAACAAGCAGGCTAATTGGCAAATGTCGTCCTTAGCCCTACAAAACTGCGGCAAAATAGAAGCTATCGATCTGCCTTCTGTGTAGTGCGATGTACTACATATGTCACTATTGCCCCCACAAGGCACGGAGGGACAGTAGGTTCCTATGCCAGAACCGCTCTGGTAGGCAGCTCTGGGACTTGCTGCAATTGCCGAGGATGTGGCAGTGAGCCTCTCTCGGCATTCGACCCCATGGGCACCAACAACGTTGATGATCATAAGGATACCTAAAACTCTCTTGTTGTGAAAGAAGCATCCATTGCGTCGCAAAACTGGACGTCTCTCTTTCCCTGCCTTTCTACCTGGCGCAGGGCGTCTTTCCATCGTCGGCATACGGTGCTGCACGAAAATGCATAGCATGCTTCCAACCAGATTTGTCCACGAGATCATTTCGAGTATCATGACAAATCCTATTCCCCAAGGAGGGGCGTTGTGCCGTGGGATTGCTCCTAGCCAGAAAGATGTCAGGATGCACATGCAACCGGTCCAAACAGTTACACTTGCAATTTCTTCATGCTTACTGGCTCGGAAAATCACATCCCATTTCATCTGTGCCTTCTGACAAAATTTCCAATTTACTTGGATCCACATTACCATCACGCCCGACCAAAGCAAGAAATAAGACTGCACAGTGACGAACCACTCCCAATTGGAAAATGCTGAGTATCCTGACCCACCCAGGACATAAGCGTAGTTAGCGGATTCATCGTTGGCAAGTCCTAGTCTATGCTTTGCATCCGGCTCATATACTCCATAGCAGACATTGCTACTATTCCTATCAACCCCTGCCTTCACAATGCCAGGTTGGACTCTCTCGACAAACGGAGAAAGATCGCTGGCATTGTACCCATACTGTTCCTTGGACTCGTCATGCACACCGATCCTGCTGCCTTGAAACTTGGCGCACCGATCAGGCATCATTCCATGGACATTCTGTCTCAATCCAAGCCACCACCCTCCCCAAGTGGCAGCAAACTCGCCTTCTCCTCCTTCGGCGGCGTCATGGTCATAAACAGATTCCCTCCATCGATCGGCAATCTTGTTGTGTATGGCTCTCCATGATGCATCTTCCGCCTGGCCGCCTTCCCAAATGGAACTAGGGCCGGTGCCATTGGTTCCGGCTCTGTCATGCTCTTGGACATTACCGTCATCACGTCTGCGATCAGCTGACGCATAGCCGTCGCAGAACGGTACTTTACCGGCTGCTCGTTCTTGATGTTCAGGATCCGGGCTTGTACCACCTCTGGCAGCTTCAAGAGCTCCCCCTTCAGCTCTGCAGCATCCATTTCCTCTTCGTCCGGGATGATCTTCTCTTGGTCTTCTTCCTTTCCAGCCGATCTGGTAGGGGATCTTGGCCTCTTGTTGCTGGCATCGTCGAAAGCATCCGTCTTTGGCACTTTCAACAGCTGTTGTGGTGACGAGAAAGCTTTGCCCTCTATCAGGCTTTGTCCCGTCAGCGCACCGATGAGCTGTTGGACCTGCTCTGTCAGTCCCTGATTTCTCTGCTCCATGGCTTGAGTATATGCCACCATCTGTGACATCTGGAACTTGATGTCGCTGAGCTCCATGCCGAGTTCGTCGATGCGGGTGTCCTTGCCGTCGGGGTCGGAGATGTCGCCCCGATCTACATCCATAGACGGCCCTTCTTCTGCCTCTTTGAGTTCCGTGGCAAATTCCGCCATGACCGAGGCATGTCTCTTCTCCTCCAACAGGAGGCCCTCTTGCATTCCTTCTTTCCACCTGGAAAAGCGACTTTCGTTCTTTTCCATCTCTTGCTTGATCTTCTCGGCACGGTTCAGCTGTTTCCTCTCCACATTGAGGAGTCGCTGCTTTTCTTTGATAGCCTCTCTCGGGTCGATCTTGACAAGCTCTCTCACTTGTGGTGGGATCTCTTGCTTCCCATCCATCGAAGCCCGCATAGCTTCCTTCAACTTTCTGTTCTCTTCCCGCAGCGATTGTTCCACCTGTGATTGCGAGGATGATGCACCAGAGGATGGTCCACTTTGCTTGCCGAGCTCTATTCTCTTCCCGTCCCATCCGGTGATGGTGAACTTCTCTGGATCTGCATCTTGCTTCTTCTTCTTCTGCTGTTTCTCCTGACTTGGCCATTGCCAATAGCTGTCCTGCCAGGCATTTTTCCTTGTAGCCAGGTTCTGTTCTCTCTTCCATGACATCTCGGGCTCCTCAGTCGCCTTCTTTTCCGACAAGCAGCTATCAAAGGATCTAAGGGCCCGAGCCTTCAGGGAATATCTCGGCCTAGAGTGGTGTCGCTCAAGGCGATGTAGTGCCCCCAGGACCTTGTGGAGCTTCCGGGTAGGAATCCAGGCCTTGGCCCTGTTCTTGCGCACCAGCACTCTGGCCTTAGACCTCTGTGCCCTCAACCGACGGTGCCACGCCGGACTAGCAGGGCGTCGCCGTACCACAATGGCTGACGGCGAGAGTCGAAGCGACCTGTATTAGGTCTGGGGCTGAAGTGGATCCGATCGGGGATCGGCGATCTTGAGCCCTGCCTGTTCAGGGAAAAAATGCTGTTGAGGCGTCTTTTCCCGAAGTCGATGTTTTAGATATTTCTTGTGACAAGGTGGAAACCACAAAAAATGTGGTATAAAGGTGATAAATCAAAAAGGAACGGCCTTTTGGGCGTCCAACGGCGTCTTTGAGCGTCCACTCACTCGGCCTCCTTCCCCATCCCTACAAAACAGATTATGAGTTTTTTAGGCCCCTTTTGGCAGTTCAAACCCTTCGTTACTCGGTGCAGGGCTGCTGTACCAAGGATGCGAAGCGGCCAGCGACATCCGAGACCTGCGAGACGCCGCGCGGTGGCGGTGACGGCCGCGCGGGCCGAAAAGGGATTTCGGAGACGAAAAGGATGGATGGACCCAAAAATCTCTGTCGATGTGTTGATTGAAGGTCTGTAGATCTGCTTCCAACTTATATGCTTATCTGGGAGTTGATGAAGAAGATGTGCTTGCAACCCATCCGACTCCTGTGAAACGCAAATGTGTATTGAAAAGCAATGTGTGATGGGATGGTTGCAGCAGATGATGGGACTCCTGTCAAACAGGTTCCAAAAAGGGTATGTCGATCATAGTCCGGTTCGAGATTCATCTGCAAGATTCGGCCCCAAGATCCCTGCTGCAGACCTCTCCGAAGCCATGTCTCAATTGCATCATAAGAAAGAGTGTGTCTTTCGGGGATTCAGTTACAACTTCCACTCGTAAGATGACCGGTAAAGAACCTGAGAACCACTGATGTGCGAAGAGACAAGCTCTCCAAGGGTCCATTTTCAGGTTTCCAAGTGCATCTACTTGGAGTGTATTCAATGGGCCCTTGCATGTCCTTGACAAATACAGTAAGTGATTTGTCCTTGCTTATTCAAGCAAAGCTGTCTATTTAGATCGAACACAAGCTAGTCTAGTAGGTCAAGTAGGCTGCATGCGCAGCCAAGTGACACCCCGAGACCAAAGCGGTCGAGGTGTAAATGCCCTGACCCAAAACCCCGTATGGCCAGGAGCCCCGTTCGTAGCGTCCTTGCTCCTATAGTAGTATGGCCAGGAGCCCTTAGTCTCAAATTGTTTTTTCTCGGGACCTCCGTTACCTATAGGTCGTTGGCCGCCAAAGCTGCGTCATGCAATGGAAAAGTGGCATGCTACATGTGGTTACCCTCAGGCGTCAGGTAGACATCAACCTCCCCACTCAGAACTCAGGCCCACACCACGTTGGCAGAAGAAGCCTTGTGCTCGGGTGGGCAGCTAGACATTGCGCAGGGCATCATTACGGGTGTGGAAATCGGGAAAAGTCCGGTTTTGCAGGATATGTCGCTTTCAAACTGGGGCTTCTAGGAACTATCAACGGCCCAGTTGCGCATGCCGTGATTCACGGTGCGCTAAGGAGCGAAATCCCTGAAACCTCTGACATGAGAGTGCTCCAAAATACCCTTTGCAACTGCCTTAGAACGATATTATATACCCATCTAAAGTGACACCAAGAACCCCACCACCCTGAGCAAGAACTGCCAGCCCTCCCACATCGGATGCGTCGTTGCGTTCGAACCACTTCCCCTGGTTCGGTCTTTCTGGTTCCGGCCATGCCCCCGGAGTGGTCGAAAGGAAGACGGCTGACGATCTCCTTTGCAAAAGGAAGCACAGGCCATACTACGTGGCTTGGTTTGTCAGTTATGGTCAGAAATCGGCCACAACCCAATGAACAAACCGACTGAGCCATCCAGCAGAGCTCGTTCTGTGCAAGACGTGGACAATGTCTAAGCCTGTCAAAAGTGACGAGAACGACCCCGGCCCTGCTCCTCCTGCTGCTGCTGCTGCTGCTGGCTGCTGGCTGCTGGCTGCTGGCTGCTGGCTGCTGGCTGCTGGCTGCTGGCTGCTGGCTGCTGGCTGCTGGCTGCTGGCTGCCGGCTGCCGGCTGCCGGCTGCCGGCTGCCGGC